CACGCTTTCTCTGCTTCAAAACACACAAGGAAACCGCATCGCAACTACGGATTATGGGGAACCTACCAATCCCACACCCTCCGCCGCCTGCGCGCATCCAGAAACCATGTTTAAATATCTGAAAGCAGTTCCGGATCAACAAACAAATGATGTTTTTGCGCAACTATGGTGTTCTACCGAGCTCCCTCTTCTCCGCTCTCCTAGACGCCCTCTGGCCGCACCGACAAGTATTCCAAAATATGTGAGCATACCTGCTTTTCGTAAAACACGATTGACAGACTCGCGAACGCCCCCGGTTAACACTTACAACAATTATTATACATACAAACGTTCGTCGGTTCCTTATGTTTCTTTGCACACCGCGTTGGCATGGTCAAACCTTCAAACGCTCAAACTACAAATACGATCAATCGTTCACGCTTCAAACTTACACTGTTCGAAATGGCAAACTGCTGTGGCGTGCTTTCGCGGTTGAAGCAGTTTTGCCATGTTTGGCAATTTAGAAGACACTGGAAGTTTGAACACGTGACATATGTGTCACTCTGGAGAAAGAGCACGGTCAGTTTGACCTATTGAACCAAACACATACTATATATCCAAGAGTTTGAAAATTCAGACAGTTCCAACATGTCAAGCATCAAAACCTCAAGTGTTCACCCTCGGACCCATGTATACATGAAAGAACCTCCTCTTTGTGAGCCTATGAAATGTCAAACCTCAAGACACCACGAAGCTACATGCGCATCACCCTCAGGGGGCATGGGGGGGGCCTGGCGCCTCCCGTTGGCCCCCAAGTCCCTGCCCCATGCATGGGGCAGGGGGCCCAACCGGGGCGCGTGCCAATGATCTCGACGAATAGTCGACACGAGCGCGTAGACGGCCGTGTCTTGCGGGACGCCGAATGTGCGACGTTTAGGTGAACGCGCTTCTCACGCATGCAAACAAATCCTTCTCGCGCCAACGATTCGACTTCAAAATCGTCTGTTGGGCGCCGGGGGCATGACATTTTGACTCGTGTTCTGGAGAAGAGTATATCTCTGCCTCCGCCGTGGCCGCTCCCGCCCGACATAATTGCACTCGTGGGCGCTTGGCTCGCGTATGTGATAACGCGAGAGCTCGACCTGGGGCCTCCCAGGCCCTCTTATCGGGGGGACCTCCAGGCCCTACTGACAGGAAGTCCACCGACCCCTTGTGGGCCTCTAGGCGCGTGAGATGCCCCCCCCCCACACCCCCCCCCCCAAAGGGACCCCGAACCGGAGATGTGACCCCCCCCCCCAGCCGCGGGGCACCCATGCCCGAACGCGCCATGGGGGAGCAGAGGGCAGAGGGCCCCACAACGGGTCAAAGCGCACCAACGAGCCCCCGAGACGGTCCAAGAAGGCCCCGAGTCGCCGAAAGATCGAGCCAAGACGCCCAAGATGGCATCCAGACGATCTCAGATGCAACCAAGACGCTCTCAGACGCGTCCACAAGGCTTTAATATGCGACCAAGAGGCGCCCCAAGAGGTCCCCAACAAGCAAAACTCATACATTTCCCATGGGAAAGCGCACCTTTTTGATATATACGGTCTTTGAGCTTTCACGGCGTCGAAAACGGCTCCAGAAGCCCACAAGACCGCCCCAAGACGGCCCAAGAAGCGCCCAAGAGTTCCCCACAAAGGCCCAAGAGGGCGACAACACAGCCCAAGAGGCGCTCAAGACGGCACAAGAAGGCCCCAAGACAATCCCAAGAGGGGGACCACAAACCGAAAATCCAAGCCATTCGCCCCGACAATGTCCCAGGAAGCTCCAAGAAGCCCCCTAGAGGCCCCCGAAAGAATCCCAAAAGGCCCCCAGAGGCCCCCAAGAGGCACCCGGAGGCGCCCACAAGGCTCCAAGAGGCCCCCAAAAAGTCCAAAAGAGGCCCCCGGAGATCCCAAAACGGCTTCCCAAAGGCTTCGAAACTGCCTCCGCGAATCTCGCGAAAAGCCAGACCCCCTTCCGCCTCTCGCCCATGCTCCCTCCTCCTCCTCCTCCTCCTCCTCCTCCTCCTCCTCCGCTTTTGCATTCTTTGCGTCCCTCTGTTCGTCGGCTTCGACCTCCCACTCGCTCGGACCCCCTGCTCCTGCTCTACTGGCCATGGCACGGGCGCACTACAAATATCATTTGCATGCTCGGGTGACCCGCCCGCCCGGGTAACCCACCCGCTCGGGTAACCCACCCGCTCGGGTGACCCGCCCGCCCGGGTAGAAGCGAAAAGGCGAGAACGCAACAATCATGTGGTTCCTCTTGGTGTTTGAAGGATGTTGGCCTCTTCGAGACCTCCCTGGGAAGCTATTTGGTTTCTTGGCGTCTCCACGGTGCCAACCATTCGTCCAAGGGTCCGCCCAAGGCAAGCTTTCCCCCCCGGGGTCAAAGTACGATGATAGAGCATGCCACGCTCACTGGGACGGGCGATGCACCGCGCAGATTGCACAACATGATCTGTCAGCACCGTACTCGCGCCGTGCAGCCGGAACGACGCGGGATTTGCAAGAAGACCCCAAACAGCCAAATCTGGCCTTCAGAACACATCACGAAAAAGGCGTCGACACCGCCAGCAGCATCCACAACGGCCCACATTGACGCGCATCGACTCCCCAGGTAACTCAAGGGGTCGGCGGACGTGCCGTACGCCTAAAGAATCTGCTCCTTTCCTCGACGCACCCCTACCGACAGGACGTAAGCAACGGCTTTGGAAACCCATGTCGAGGTTTTGCGAGCGGGGCGCGGACAACGAAAGTGGCCAAGGATGGACCGAGGAGGCAAGGATGCTGCAACGGTGACCTTCGGAAGGTTGCCTATCCTTACTATGCGGGTTGACTGTAAAGCCCAACCAGCAGCGGAACGAGGCAAAGGAATGCACATCAATCACCACCCCCAATCCGCTCCGCACGCCAGCGCACCCGTCCCCCTCCCTGACCGTTTTCTTTGGGTGTCGCACACACCCCCCGCCCCCCCCTTCTCCGGCCCGTTCCCCTCAGTCCAAACTTCTTTTGGCGTCGCACACCTCCCGCATCCACCCCCCGCCCCGCAGGCCACCGCCGCCCCCGTTTTCCGCACTGAAAACGTGAATTTGGCGCCGCACTCCCCCCACCCCTTTCGCTCCGCAGGCCACCGCCCCAGCCAGCCCACCTCCGCCCCGACTAATTCGTTCGGGCGTCGTACGCACATCCCCTTCCCTCTCCACCCCGCAGGCTGCCGATCCCGCCTCACTTCACTGTGGCGTCGCACTCCCCCCCCCCCCCCCCTTCCGCCCCGAAGGCCCCCCCCCCACTCCGCCCCGACCATTGCATGTGGCAGTGCACGCCCCGCCCCCCCCCCCCGTCCGCCCCGCAGGTCACCGCCCCCGCCCCCATCCGGCCGACCTTTTCATTTTAGCGTCGCACCCCCCCGCCCCTCCCCCCGCTCCGCCTTGCAGGCCTCCACCCCCCTCCGCCCCGACCACTTACTCGGGCGTCGCATACCCCGCGCCCTCCCCCTTCCAACCCGCGGGGCCCCCCCCCCCCCCCTTCACCTGCCTCGCCCCCTTCCTCCTCGTTCCCCTCGTCCTCCTCCTCCTCCTCCTCCTCCTCCTCCTCCTCCTCCTCCTCCTCCTCGTCCCCCTCCCGTATGTGCAAAAGCCAGCCCACGCATGACACTTCATTCTGGCCAGGACACGCATTGGCCCCGTAGCGAACTCCACGGACCTACCGCCCCAGTCGGTGCGTTCACATACGCTTCCCTGATTTTGTTCGGCGCACTTGCACCTCGCACGCGCTTCGTGGCCACATAGGGAGCTCCACCGCATGCCCCAGCTGGTGCGTCCAGATGCAGATCCCCCCTCATTGCGGCGCACCCCTTGCACGTTTCGTGGCTTCATTGGATGCTACACCTGACGCCGCAATTGGTGCGTCTACGTGCGGTTCCCCAGCCGCAGCCGTCACGCGATTCGAAGCCCCGCACCATAGGGAGTTCCCCCCTTTCGTCTCACCAGCCTCGCTGCGATCACACTTACATGTGTTTAAGCCCTTCGCCTGGGTAATCCACTTGAAATGCAGTTGGTGTCTCAAAACGGTGTTGCCGCTGCAGCGCTGGCCTCATTTGGGAGCAGCGCTCTGCACACATGGATCAGAATACTCCAACTCCTGTTGTTGCTGTTTGTTTTCGCCCTCTTCGTCCTCCTCCTCCTCCTCCTCCTCCTCCTCCTCCTCATGTTCCTCGTGCTCATCCTCGTGCTGATCCGCCACATCCTCCTCCTCCCCCTCCTCAAGTACGCAGCTCCCGTGTTCCGATTGCACGCACAACGATGGGGACATTTTGGGAAGTGGGAACCCAAGTACGCTACGACAGGCGTCCGCGGATAGAGAAGAAGTCATGGCAGTGGGAGCGGATGGGTAGGATGTCAGATCTGGTGCCAGCGTACCTAGCTTGCCTGTCCCCCCCTCCACCAATCTCCCCCTCCCCACTCTCCCCTTCCCTCTCTATTCCGTGCCCCCACATTCCGCCCCCTTTCGACTCCTTCGTTAGGGGAGCATGCATCGACGAAGGAACGGTGGAGAGGCGAGCAGAGGGACCGGGTTGCAAGAGGCAAGAGACGATGAGCATATCACGAAAGGGGTTAGGACAGAAGGGGGACGCGAGAAGAGACGGGGCAGGGGACATGGGGAAGGAACATTACCCAGCGACGTACCCAACACATCCGAAGCATTTGTAAAGACCAATGGACATATCCCAAATGGGTGACCATATGACAAGTATCGCGTTTATTTCTGAACGCTAACAGAAACTGTTGATTATGAGAGGGTATCAAAAAACACAAGAAAACACATGATATGGAAAGGGAACGAAGGAACGACGACGATGACCAACAAGCATGAATGAGGTTGCGTGGTTGGTAACAGCCAGGTATCTCTCTCCCTGCCTCCCTCCCTCCCTCTCTCTCTCTCTCTTTGTCCACCCCTCGCTCACTGGGACAGAATATCAGAGCTCACAAAACGGGCTCTCTTCTCCAGGCCCCTCGAACGGGTAGGTGAGGTGCTGGAACCGCTGCGGAAACACGTACAGGAACCCCGTGCGGAGCTCCAGCTGCAGTATGCCTCGGGCATGGATGAGAAAAGAAGAGGGGATACGCAGGAGTACTCCGTGCGAGGCCCCTGTTGCTACATGAGTGCGAGCGCGGGGGCTGCAGGATCAGGGGCAACATTACATCAGGTCAGAAACTGGCAACCAGGGCGAAAAACAGCCCGACTGAAGTGGCAGTGCTTGAACACACATGTTTTATGATTGGAAATCATGAGGGAGATCTGTAACGACGACGATGAGCAGGAAACTACATAATGACCTGGAGACCAAGGTAAATCAATATGAGGGAGGTAGCACACCCTTGGAGAGAAATGATGACCATTACCTGGGCATGATATGATGTGGGATATGAAGAATGAGCAGCAAGGGGAACTAATCTACAATCAAAAGACGAGGAAAAGGGCAACAATGAGCAGGGCGAGGAGAACGAGGAGGAGAAGCAGGGGGAGGGACGGCGAGCAAGAGGCGGAACTAGGAGTGAGTGACGAGGACGACGACGACGAAGAGTGAGGAAGAGCAGGGAAGGACATGGACGCGCGGTGGGAACAAACAACCATACAAGGACTGTACAGAGGGGAACGCAGAAAAAGTCTTCAAAGCCCGGCCGCCACGCCGTTAACACCACTTCAACTCGGAGAGCATCAAACAATCCGGGCCTTCTCTGCCTACCCATCATGTTCCTCCTCCTCCTCCTCCTCTTTCTCCTCCTCCTCCTACTACTTGTGGCCCTCCTAACCCAGGCGATGCTCCCCCACCAATACTCCACCATCCTCCTGATCCTCCAACCCCTCCTCCTACTCCCCCTTGTCTTCCTGCTTCCGCGCCATCTCATCCTCAACGCGCCGATTCCTCAGGAAGCACAATGGTGACCCCTTCACCTTCTCCTCCTCGCCCTAGCCTCTCAAGCTCCTGCTCGTCCTCCCTCCTCCTCCTCCTCCTCCTCCTCCTCCTCCTCCTCCAACAATGGGCGTCGAGCCCTTGACCTACTTGCCCAAACAACTTACACTTTGGGGTATCCGAATTTCCTCCTCAAATAATGGGGCACGGCTGCCGGGGTTTCGCCAAACGACCGCCCTTGGGCACTGGTGGCCGCCCGTCCGCTGGCTGGGTCTGCCGGGTGTTCGCACAATCTCATGCGACGGCTGAGCCTTCTGAATTTTCGCCAGGTAGCCGCCCGTAGCTTGCACCTCCTGGCTTGCACCACCTAGCGCACACGAGATAGCATGCACCACACGACAGGGCACCCCATATCTCGAAACATATTCGTTACTTCACATAGCTTGCACCACATAGCTTACACCGCACAGCTTGAACCAAATATATTGCATCTCATATTTTGCACCGCATAGCTTGATAGCTCATCTCACATATCTGACACATAGCGACTTAAGAATCCCGAATGCAACAACTCACTGCTTGGGGTCCACGCTGGCCAACTTGAACCACAGCATGTTTGGCCATAGCACAGCCGAAGCCATGCTCCAACTCCTCATCCTCTCACCCTTCCTCTCGTGCCCACCGCCCTCCACGAATTGCTGCCCACCGCATCGAAGCCATGCCGAAAAACATATATTAATACAAACGCAAGGGCGGACAAATTAGCCAAGAGGCCAGAGGTCGGAAATAAGAGAGAAAGAGAAGGGAGGGATGAGGTTTGGGGAGGAAGGAACAGATGAAGAGAAGCAGGGAGGGAAAAAGAAGGAGGGACAATCTGCTCGAGTTCCACACGACTCTCTGGGGGATGGGCGATCTGTTCTACATGCGCTTTGACAGCATAGTGTTAGCCACTCGGATTCCAAAAACTGGAGGTCCATGAAAAGTTGAAGATCACCCTTGCGTGTGTTTCTGTCCACACTTCCCGATCGCCGTTTGTGTTCCGACCACGCGGTGGGAGAGGGGAACTCATTGTTTGTGCTCTTGTGGTTTCAATCTGTGCGGGAAGCTGCAGGCTGAGAGTTGGGCGTGGGCCAGTGTGCTGACGATGAGGGTGACAATGCACAAGGTCGAGGCAAACAATGGGAGTGAGGAGATAGTGCAGAACAGAACGATGACAAAGAGGACGAACAGGGAGACAAGAGTAACGAGAAGATGGCGAGGGATGGGGTGAGGATGATAAAGACGGGAGTAACCACGCCGAGTGCCGGTGAGGATGAGGGTGAAAATGAGGATGGGTGAGAGCGGTGCGGATGCAGGCAAAGACAGGGGTGACAATGCGGGCGACAGGGAGGCGAAGTTCACTCTTGCGGGGGCATGGCAGGGTTCCAGAGAAAGAAAGAGCCCCACTTAGCACATGATGCCTTGTTCGGCGCTGCTAATTCCAGGGGCCGGCGGGTTCGACAGCACTTCCTCTGCAGACTTCCCTGATCTGACTCGCGCGAAATCTTCCCATCGACCCTGACACGTGGAGACGCCCAACATCCCTGCCTGGATGGATCAGGTCGTTCTTGTCCGTGGCGCGATCGCTCTTCCACAGGATGTTGTGCAGCCCGTCGTGGAAGCCGTAGGAGCCCTTGGAAGGCCTGCGGCCGATGCTGGCAACCAGCCGCTGCACTGTCACTAGCAGCATAAAAGAGTGGACGTGTATGCGCTTCGGCGAGGTGGATGATCCTCATGACGACTTGCGCGCCATAGTGTGCTTGCCCAACGAAAGCCTTCAAGACGACGCGGCCGATGCACTGAGGGCTAAACGGGGCAACAAACACACACACACATAAACACACAATCGGCTAACACATGTCCTGAAGATCATCGGCAAGGGACCCCGTGCGGATTCCCCAAGGACCAGGCGGACCAGCGTCAACAACTCGTGGCTAGATGGCCGACGTACGGAGACCCTCGAGGCAGGAACGTCTGCACAGATATTTTTGTCAGCGGGCGCGCGCTGGCCACGAGCGGCAACCGTGGTGCCAGAAGAAAGTGGGTGCCACCAGCCTGCAGCTCGATTCTGCAAACGCACATGCACCTTACAATTGACACGACGGAGAAAATCGTGGGCGCCCGAAAAGATTTCAGCGCCGTGCGTAGCGGAGAAGGCGAGAGCAGAAAGGGGTGGAGGGACAAGGAGGGAGAACTTGAGCCAAACGTCGGCAAAGGTCCTGACAGGAACACGGGGAATGGGAGGGAAAACGGACCATTCCCCGAGGACCAGGCGGACAATTCGCCGGCCCAACGGGCCAGAGGCGTGCTAAGATCTCCGGTAACTACTTAACAATATTTCTAGTTCGCGCGCGCGCGCGGGGCGGCCCTTGGAGGGCCCCAGGCGAAAAACACCACCCGAAGGTCCCGGGACACTCCCGGCAGACTCGGGTCAGAGATGGTTTTCCTCCTGGGTGCGGCGTTCCACGCTCCCCGGAGCGCGCCAAGAGGGCCCCAACAAGAATCCAAGACGGTCCAAGAGGGTTCCGAATCACCGAACGATCGGCCCAAGACGCCCAACCCGGCCTCAAGACGGCCCATGAAGCTTCCAATCATTGATTTCCATTTGGTTTTTCGAAGGTTTTGGCTTCCTCGCCTTTTCGCGTTTCGGACGCTCCAAGACAGCCCAAGAAGCCTCCAAGACCACCCCAAGACGGCCCAACAGGCCTCCAAGAAAGCCCCAAGACCGTCCAAGAGGGTCCCACGACAGCCCAAGAGGCGCCCAAGACGGTCCAAGAGGACCCCAAGAGGGCCCAAAGAGAGGCCCAACATGGAGACCACGAACTGAGAATCCGAGCCTTCCGCTCCAAGAGCCCTCCTGGAGGCTCCAAGAGGCCCCCGAGAAGCCCCAAAAGGCGACAAGGGGCCCGAAAGGAAACCCAAGAGGCTCGACAACGACTCCCGAGAGTCTCCAAGACGCCCTCGAGAGGCATCCAACGAGATCCCAATGAACGTCCACGAAGCCTCAGAGCGCCAAAACTATTGATTTCCATTTGGTTGTTCAAGGTCGATTGCCTCCTCGCCTTTTCGCGTTTCCGACGCTCCAAGACGGCCCAAGAAGCCTCCAAGACCACCCCAAGACGGCCCAAGAGGACTTCAAGAGAGCCCCTAAGACCCCCCCAAGAGGGCCCCAAGCCCAAGAGGCGCCCGAGACGGCCCATAAGGACCCCAAGAGGGCCCCAAGAGGGGCCCAACATGGAGACCACGAACTGAGAATCCGAGCCTTCCGCTCCAAGAGCCCTCCTGGAGGCCCCAAGAGGCCCCAAAAGGTGACAAGGGGCCCGAAAGAGACCCCAGGAGGCTCGACAACGGTTCCCGAGAGTCTCCAAGACGCCCTCGAGAGGCATACAACGAGATCCCAATGAACGTCCACGACGCCTCAGAACGCCCAAACTATTGATTTCCATTGGCTTGTTCAAGGTTTTTAGCTTCCTCGCCTTTTCGCCTTTCCGACGCTCCAAGACGGCTCAAGAAGCTTCCGAGACCACCACAAGACGGCCCAAGAGGCCTCCAAGGGAGGCCCACGACCGTCCGAGAGAGCCCCACGACAGCCCAAGAGGCGTCCAAGACGGTCCAAAAGGACCCCAAGGGGGCCCCAAGAGAGGCCCAAGATGGAGACCACGAACCGAAAATCCAAGCCTCCCGCTCCAAGAGGCCTCCTGGACGCCCCAAGAGGCTCATAAGAGGCCCCAATAAGCGACAAGGGGCCCGAAAGAGACCCCAAGAGGCTCGACAACGACTCCCTGCTACCCTCAAAACCCTGCCCCCCTCACACACGACGACACATAGCAGCGGGGGGATGAAGTAGAGAAGAAAAGGAAACTGCAGAATGTTGTCTTGTTCCCTGCGATCGTATTCACGAGCCGCCACCTTCCGAAACAGAAGGTTCAGGCGGGCAAAGAATGGTTCCCGCCTGCGAAATCACACAAAGCCAGCCATCCATAAACAAAACAACTACCCAGCAACACCCCATTGACAACGATCACACGGGCACTCGACAGCCGTGCACCAATACGGGCCGGCGGAATGAGCGAAGCGATTAGATAAGCTGAGATGCCAGATAGCTCGCGACTAGATGGCTGACGTGCACAGACTCTTGAGGCATGAACCTCTGTGCCACTATCAGTTCGTCAAGCGCGCGATCGCCACGAGCGCCGAAACCTGGTGCCAAAATTAAGTGGTTGCCTTCAGCACGCAGCTTCGTTATGCAATCGCGTTCGCACCTGACGACGCAAGTGACTGAACGCCGCGCTCGCCCAACAGAAAACAGTGACAATACTTCGCGCCAGTGTCGCAACTTCAAAGAGTCAGGTTGGCAAGGCCGCGGGAAGCGACCTGAGGTATTGCGGACCACGCGCGCGCAGGCAAGCTGACAGCTGGACAGAGCACGCTGAGCAGCAGACGCGCGGTTCAGTTCAACTAACAGAGAAGGCGGTCGGAGTTCGGCAGCGCGGAATGGAAGAGGCTGAGCGCCACGGACTCCGAGAAAGGATGTGCAAAAACAGAAAATCGATTGCTCCAGGTACCCTCGCGAATGGAAGCCACCATGCCGACCAGAGTTTGGTGAAAAGGCTCGGGGAACCCAGTCCATGCTTATGGAAGGCGTTCGGCAGCATGTGTTCAGAATTCCTCAAAACTGCGATGCCGCGGAACAATTCGGTGGAGCTACTGCTCGGGCCAATAAAGCGGCTGTTGCAGGAGGTAGCGGGGGGGGGGGAAGGGGGCAAGAGATTTGGGCGACCAAGGGGTGTGTTGTTTTGTTCGGTTCGTCTGACGCGGCAAAGCTGCGCGAGCTTTTCCTCGCAGGCCTGAAGGGGGCCCTGGGTTGAAACCCTTGCATTCAAGGTCGATATTGGGCGACGGCCCCGCATGCCTTGCACGGCGAAGACTGCGCCGCCCGCGCATCTGACACAGTGCGCCAAGGTGTTCTGGCTTTTTCTGTGATCCAATTGTGGTTCGGAACCTCCGCTCGGAAACAGCAAATGCCGCGCGCCCTGGAGGGAACCGAGGGGGGCCCCGGTGGTGCCCGAAGCATAGGCCTCCTCTAACCGTTTCCAAGTGGCCAACACGAGAAGGACAATGTGTCTGGGCTCGGAACGATATATGTATATGTATATAACACAAAAAACGCCGCTGCTTCTGCAACGCGCTGGTGACAGGGCATCGCGCAAACGATGCGATGGCATGAAGTGCCTCTCTGCCGCCGCTGGCCGCTGGCCCTCCTCCCACCTCCCTTTTCGCCTCCAGTAACTCTGTTCGTGTGGTTCCTTTAGGGCACGCTGAGCTGATGGCGCGAGCTTGAGACTACATATCGCGCAAGCGGTGGGACAGAGCTGCCGCAGGCTGCGCGCCGCCGTCACCGCCCTGGCGAACCATGGCGCCTGGTGCTGCCGACTCGACGGGCGAGACGCTGCCCACGGCGTCAGAATATGATTCATCTTTACTGGGTGCTACGATGGCGACTGGTGCTGCAAGTCGGTTTGTCGGTGTCCGCGGTGCTGGTACGCCTGCAGGTGGCCCAGGTGGCTCTAACGAGCTTGGCGCACGCGACGAAGCTGATTTCTGTTGTTGGCAGGAACTGGTGGCACTGCCTTCAACTTGCCGAAAGCCCTCATCATCTCCCTTAGCTTCCCTTCAGTGGCCTGCTTTGTAAATGTTTCAACTCCCGACGGGAAGAACGCCCCCGCGGTCTTGAGCTCGGCCAAGAAAGCAAGCGCAATCGCCGTCAACACTGAAAGAACTTGTGATGGGCAACAACCCGTGCTGGCCGACGCCCTCCAGACTAGGACGCGCGGGTGCATGCGGCGATTGCGCGCGACCTTCAAACCTGGCTTTCTGTCAGGCCCGTCTCTCTTCACATGTCTTTTTGTCCGTGACCTTTTTGACTCTTGGCGTCGCTGCCGCGAAAAGCGGAAGCGCCGCTGGGAAAGATGGCCCCACAAAAGCGAAACGCCAAGAAGGAGAAGAGAAAACCTCGCGAGAGCACGTGGAAAAAAGGCTCGAGCCTCGATGGCCTTGGGCGGGGGTTGATTCGACGATTGGCGCCGAGGCGCAAGACGCCCCCCGCCCCCCCCCGCTCGTACGATGACGATGTCACGGAACGAGGGCGAAGAGGGGCGACGAGGAGACGCGCGCAGAATGCAAAGGCTGCCGGTGAAACGGGAGGAGGGGGGTGAAGAGGGCGATCGCTGCAGGGAATGGGGGGGGCAACGGGGGCGCGGATGCCGATGCTGATGCTAATGGTGGCGGGCGCATGGGGCGCGCACGATGAGCACGATGAGGGCGATGGCGATGCGAACGCGGAGCAATGCCAAAAAGCGGACGCGCCGCCGGCGAGGCAAGTGGCGAGGCGGGATCGCTTGAAGGGAAAGTAACAACACGGTGAAAGGTCCATGCTCCTGCAGCGCCGGTGCGCAGAAATGAAATGCGCATGAACCCGCGCGCCGAAACTGCTGATCCATTCTATGCACTCCCGAGGCTGGCCGCGGCACCGAGGCTGCTGCTGCTGTGCTGTCAAACGGCGAGGCTGGTGCGCTGTAGAACGTCGAGGCTGCTGCTGCGCTGCGCGATTCGCTGCCGCGCGTCTCGCGCTGTTTCGGCGCCCCAAGCTTGGGGTGCAAAATGCGAAATATGACAGCCAGCCTTCTCGTTCCGCCTGGGACTTTCAACTGGACCATTCGCTGCGCACTCGGGGCGGTCGAGCCCCTCCGCCAACCGCAGCACCAAGGCGGGCGTTTTTTTCCCAGAGACGCGGCGCTGATAATAATTTCTTTTTGGGCTGGACCTCGTTGGCGCGCTGGTCATTGCTGCGCGCGCTCTCGTCGGCGTCGGGCTCGTTCTCGTCGGCGTCGAGGTTGCTCTGGTCGGCGGCAGGCTACCTATCGCCGGCGACGGACATGCTCTCGTCGGCGTTGGGCTTGCTCTCGTCGGCGCCAACGTTGCCCTGGTCGGCGACGGGCTTGCCATCGTCGGCGACGGTCATGCTCTCGTCGGCGCCGAGGTTGCTCTGGTTTGCGACGGGTTTGCTCTCGTCGGCGTCGAGGTTGCTCTGGTCGGCGACGGGCTTGCTCTCGTCGGCGACGGGATTGCTCTCGTCGCGCTCGGGGCTGCTCTGGTCGGCGACGGGCTTGCTCTCGTCGGCGTCGAGGCTGCTCTGGTCGGCGACGGGCTTGCTCTCGTCGGCGTCGGGGCTGATCTGGCCGGCGACGGGCTTGCTCTTATCGCGATCGGGCATTATCTCGTCGAGCTCATCCCGGCTACTCCACGTAGGAGCGCTGGCCCTCGTCGGGTCGGACAGGCAGAAGCCGCCGGACAACGCGTCACCGAAGTTCATGAGCCCTTCCAGGTCTTCAAAAACCTGGCAGTCTCCAAGACAGCAGCTGCGTCTGTCAGGCGCCGCACGTCGCCGCCGCGGCGGCGGTCGAAGTGGAGCTGCTGGCCCACGAGCCATGGGGGCACGGGGTTCTGGCAGGTCGATCTCCATCTCTGGCGATTGCCACCAGGCCTGCAGCGTCTGTGGCGCCCAGTCTGCACCCCCTCTGGGGCGCCGCTAACCTCGCACATGTTCGAAGCCGCAAGCTCCGGGCACTCTTGGCCCCAGCGCACGCATGCGAAAAAAAGATGCGACCGCGGGAGGCGAGGGGGAGGGCGACTCCACGGGGAAAGCTGGCAAGGCAGACGGAAGTGCCACAGGGGGCGAGGATGGCGAGGGGAAGGGCGCAGCTTGAATCGTGAACAGAAGCCCCATGAGGCCTCCTGGGAGCAACGGCGCAACCCCCTCGGGGCTCGCACGGCGCCCTCCCCCCTCGAAGACCTGCCGGGGCCCGCGCGCCCCCCCCCCCTCGCCCGGCGCAGCTCGAACGCCCCTGGAGGCATCAGAAGTGCTGCTGCAGGGCCTGGGGGAGGTGCTCGCATCGCATAACAACGCGCAGCATCGCATAGCATCATGCAACATCGACAATGTCAGAGAGCGGAAGTACCGCTGGGGATGAATGCAGAATGTCGAATGTTAATGTCATGCGCTGAGCCGAGGGAGCGGAAGCGCCGCTCACCGCAACAGGCCGAGGTGCCATGGTCAAGCACCATGGCGCATGCGCAGAGGCCAGCACCAGAAGGGGGCGCCACGGGCCGAAAAAGGGGCCGAGGAGGGTGCAACTCCAGAGGCCTTCGGAGAGGAAGGACAGGCCGATGGATCCCCAACGGATATTGGCTCTTCCTACGACGAGATGCAGCGGTGAAATACTTGTCATGGCTTCTCGGAGTTGGCTCGATATTAATTCACATCGAGGTTGACCGGGCTCCAGTGCAAAAGCAAACCACTCATGCAAACTGAACGCACGCCTCGGGCGCAACTGGACGTCGAGGTTGCCGCGATTCAAATGCGAAAGCAACACGCCAAACCAAGCTAGGGGCTAGGCAACTCCCGCAATTGCACCCACAAGGCTATCATAATTACCTTTTCATATGTCTCGAACTCGGGGCCCCTAGCGCAATTTCTGTTGATGCAGCCATTTTTAAGCCTGGACTTGTCGCGCACTTCCACCTCGAGCTGCGATCAACCAGTAATGCCATGAAGCGTTCCCGAACCACCGTCCCTGTACACGCCTAAACAGCAATGGTGAATGCAGATTCCAGAACAAAGGCGCCCGTCGTACAAGATGCAATTCTCGATCGACTCCCCATTCAAAGCCATAAAAAGATTAGCAAGCATTCCAAACTCGCGATATTATACCCTGCGCAGCGATCACCCAGGCAATGCATTTTGCCATCGGGCTGCGAATGATTGTCTCCATGCGTCATTGTCTGGCACCGAGGGCTGGTCCGAAGAGGGGTTCGTGCCCATGCAATGCCAACGCTGCGGTGTAGGAGGGCTCGCAGCGTTGGTCTCGACGATGGCGCGCCATGCCTCGCCTGGACAGGCGTGCACGCCACTGTGCACGAAGTATCTGCGCCAAAAGCAAGTGCCATTCAACGTCGGTGCTGCTGCTGCGCCTGGTGCTGCGTCTGCTGGTGCGCCTGCGCCCGTTGCTGCGTCTGCTGGTGCTGTATATGGTGCTGCGTCTGCTGGTGCTGCGCCTGGTGCTGCGCCCGCTGGTGCTGCGCCTGCTGGTGCTGCGTCTGATTCTGCTGCGCCTGGTGCAGCTGGCGCTGCTGGTGCAGCGCCAGATGGCTCCTCCTCTGGCTCGGCCGGAACGGTGGACGAGCGCGCCGTGACCCAAATGGTGGCACGCGTCAGAGGCTCCGTTTCGGAGCCAAAGCAGGTGGAAACGACGACGGCGATGGCGACGACGACGACGACGCTTCCGCGCGAGGCCCACGCGAACGCGCGGCAGGGCCATGATATTCTTACCTATTTACGCACGGTGAAAAGCAAAGCGGCGGAACTCATGGAACATAATAAAAACATGCGTGCATATTTGTAGCTGAAACCATTTTTTTATATAAAAAAAGCCGATCTGGATGCCCATGCAAGTCTCGGAAGTCCCCCACGACTCCAACTGATACGCTGTAGGTCACTCTTCCGAACCCAACACTCTCAGCATTCACTTAGCGTTCAAGTGGGCAGGCGGGCGGGACGTCAGGTGGCACCTTCGCTCAATGATGGGGCGTCATCAACAACGCCATCATTGCCATTCACCGCCATCATCGCCATGGCCAAAATCTCCCCCCCCCCTGATCATCGTCATCGCCGCCACCGCCGCCACCCCCACCGTCGCCGGCAACCCTGCGCGGCCCGGGCCCCGCGGGCCCCGCCCCGCGGGCCCTGGCCCCCCCCGCCCCCCCAGACCCGGCCCCGGCCTGGGCCCTGGCAGCGGCGCCGGCTCCGGCGGGCCCCCTGGCCCCGACCCTGACTCTGGCGCCGAGCGCCGGCCCGGGCCCCCCCCGGCACGGGGGGGGCGAATCTCATCCCCCCATGCAGGGTTCGAATTGGGAGGGGGGCCTCACCCACATTGCCGAGCCCACCTGCCCGCCGATCTTGCCAAGCCCGCCCGCCGACCTTCCCGAGCCCACCTGCCCTTGGAAGTACTCTTCGGATCGACCTTGCCCACCTGCGCAGCGCGGCAGCGCGGACGGCGCTGAGCTGCTCGGATGGCTGAGAGAGCTGTCGTAGTTCATGTGATATTAGCTACGGTATCTCGCCAATAAACTGCAATATCCCTACTTGTGTGTATGGTTAAATGTTCATAGTAGCTATATTCCAGATATTGGCGCGTGCACAATGTCATGCAATGGAACAAATAAGACAACATCACGGTTACCAATCGAACGTATTAGTTGATACAAGAAGCGCTTACTGCTCACGCACTCTTAATAAGCACAATAAGTTAACTAACCTCCGCAAGGGACAGCTGGAGAGGCCGACACACGGACCAACAAGAAAGCGGCAAAAAGCACATTGGAAAGGAGGAATAAGTGAAGGAGAGGTGACGGAGGAAGAAGAAAAAGACGAATGATAACGGAACAACGACGCACGCGGCGGCCCATCCGCTAGGCGGGTGATCCGATTTCTTCTCAGCCGGCGAGCGTGACCAAACAGGCGGGGGAATGATGGCAACGACGATGGAGACGACGATGGCGGCCAGGATGATGATGCGCGGGTAATCCGCTGCAGCGGCTGATCCATTTTCATATTTTTGTCGGGTGATTTTTCCGAACTCAATGGAACGACACAATCGTGTTGTCGTTCTTGAAAGACCATCCCGTCGCCCTGCGCGCCCCCTCGGGCACGCGGATATCGGGCCGCCCCGTTCTAATCCAAAGTGCCCGCGCTTGGCGAGCGATGCGCCGGCGCAGGCTTTGCCACGAGCAGCGCTAGAACGGCGCCTACGCCCACGCGCGCTTGAACCTCAACAGCCGCGCCTGGAACGAAAGCCGCGCAGCCAGCTCTGAACAAAAAGCCCCGCCACTTCATCTGTTTGGACGCGACGCAGAGCTGGTCAAACTTGTCGGACAGCGGCTGGCTCACAGCCACGGGCTGGCATCATTCGGCCAGCATGACTTCGCCCATCTCTGGAAACACCTCGGCGGGGAGCTGCTTGACCGAGCTCGTCTCGAAGGCTTCAGCGTTCGCGAAGTGACTCATTGCATGATTCACAATCTTGTTCTTCCTTTCGTGCACACTGCAATCGAGAAATGCGTCGTCCTGTTGGCCTGACGCAACATGCCACTGATAAGGATGTCTTGGGACGAGGGCACCGACGCGGCGCGCAGTCTTGCGCGCCAAGAGAACGACCGACTGCGCGCTGCATCGTACTTTTCATAGCGAGAGACGTCGAATAGCGCCACGTTGATGCCGTCCGAAACTTCACGCAGACGGAGGGGGCTCTGGCGCTCAAGCGGGACCATGTGCACGGGGGCGCGTTCATAGACGCAGTATCTAATGGGCGGGCATGCAGGCGACGCGCCTGCTGCCCCCGCGCGAAAACACCGCCTGCATTCCACGCCTTCTCCCGATATTCGTTGAACATGCCGGCGAATTCGCTCGCGGCTAACCCTCCGGGACACCAGTGCCAGTCGGCCTGAGCGAGCGCCTTGAGCAAGCTGAACGAAACTCCGGGGGCTCATTCAGCAATGCAGTTCAAGCGCAAACCAATCTCTATATCCCCGAGGCTGCCCGCCAAATGCACGCGCATGCTGTCGCGCAGAAAGCCAACATGCGGGAGCGCGCGCGGGCGGAGATCCAAGTCGGCCAGAACGCCGCGCTCGTTCGAGGAGAACCCCTTCGTCGTCTGCACAAGTTTCAACGCCCCCCCCGCGCCCGTGCACTGCATCCAGAATGTCAAGCGTTCGCCAGACGTCATCGTCTGTCATGGGGTCGAACTGCGCGGGGCCCGAGCACGAGACGTCGACCGGGCGCGTGCCAGCCTGATGATCGACCAGCGAATCAGTCACGCCATCTCTGTTCAGCTTAACGACGTTCTGGCGCGATATGGAACAACACCTGATACTGCCAAAACCTCTCGGATCAAAGAAAGTGTTCGTCGCCACTTCGTCACCGATCAACCATTGAAACATGGAATACATAATCCTTGAACGGCCGTCGACCGACGCGCTCGCGCCCGCCGCGGCGACGCTGCCGGCGCCGAGGAGGAGCGAACGCAGGGGCGCCCCGGCCGCAGCTGGGAAGACCCCCTGAAGATCTTTAGCCACAGTGGCGCGAAGCACGCCGATGGGCAGCCATGCATCTTGGCATCTCAGATAGCGCCCCATCTCCAGTATGCCGAAATGCCAGCGCGTGGCCTTTCGCTGGTTGTTCAATATCCAAACATTGCCTGGCAACGCGTCATCAGGCGCCAAGGCCCGTTGAAACTATTTAGCGACCTCGCCATTGCATTCTGAAGCTCCGCCCTGAAGCCCTCGCGTTAACCAAAGCACCTCGGGAAGGTCCAATCAAAGGCGTCGCCATTCTCCCTTTGCAACGGCAGCTGAATGAGAACGCCCTCAGTAAACGCATCCACGCACTCACGCAATTGAAACCGCGGCGCCGCGTCATCTTCCCCCAGCGCGGCAAGCGCCGCTATTGCGTCGTTCACGCTGAAGTTCCGCCTGCTGAGCAGATCGAGGACCCTCCTTCGTCTCGCGGGCGGTCCCACGGCCGAAATAGGCGGGTCGGAAGGCGGGGGCTGGGGGGGGGGCGGCCGAAAGGCGGCGCCGACCGCCCAGCGCTGAAATGGCTGCGAGGAAGAGGAACAGCATCGGGGGGAGGCGAAGGGGAGGCGGGGAATGAGGAGAAGCGGGCGCGGCATCAAGAGCACGGAGAATGGAGAGGAGGGCAAGGAAGGAGGAAGAGGGGGAAGGAAAAAGAAGGGGAAGGGGAGGAAAAATGACTAGCGGATGATCCGCTCGGCGGTTGAACCGCCGGATTCTGGGAGAGCAGGAGGAAAATGATGACTGGCGGATGACCCGCTGAGCGGTTGACCCGCATTTGTCCAACGGTTTTTCCGATGCGCATCCGTCCGTTGACGGTGTTGTGACGTTGTTGCGAGTTCACCCTGGGCGCCCCTGCGCAGGCCCGCATGAGACTAGCTGAGCAGTCGAGGCTAGCGCGTTCGCGCGCCATGCGCGGCACTACCCGCGCCGCGGCAACATGCAAGGCTATTCGAGCGCGCGGTCAACGACGGCCCCGCGTCGGCCGGGCGGACCCTGACGCCCGCGCTGGCAGCGCGCGGCGCGCGCCGCGCGACTGCAGCATGCGGGCGCGCTTCCGCCCCCAGGTCGCGCGCAACGAATTCCACTCCTTACCCGAAGTAGCACATGCACGCGCTGAGTTGTACCCGCGGCATCTGGAGACGCAGGCGGCCAAGACCTACGTGCGCACGAAGCGCCCCCGCTCGGGACAATGCTCTTCGCTGTGCTCAGCAGCTTGGAAAGGAGCGCAGCAGCTTCGAGCGAAGCCTCCACAAGCGCACCCACATCCTCCACCGAGGTTGCCACGACGCACTCGCCGCGCTCGTCGTGGACATTGTAGAATTCGGAGTAGGCTTTCCCAACGTCCTTGAGCCTCTTCTTGGCTGAAGTGATGCCGTACTTCGGCACGTGTTTCGCCATGGGTTCCTGCAGGTCTCGGTCGAGGGATCTTGAGCCTCTCGATCATGCACGAGACGCGGGTCGCCAGGGCCTCGCTCTTCCTGGCGGGCATTCGGCATTCTACTTTCCTGCTCGAGCTTCCTCTGTTTCACCCTCAAAGCCTTGTCGTCCTCCGACTTCGAATCCGAATCCGAATCTGGGCTCGAGGGCGTAGCGTGCTTCTTGGACACCTTGTCCTTCCTGCATGGATTGCCCTCCTTGTCCTTCTCTTCCTGCTTGGACTTCTTGGACTGCTTGACCTTCTTGGTTTTCTTGTCCTTCTTGGACGCCTGGTCCTTGCTGCTCATCCTTGTGCTCGAGCTGCCGGCCGAGTCGGACGAGCTGCTGTCGGTTGGGGCATGCCGCGCCGGCTTCGGCGGAGGCTGCGCCTTGGCCGCCGGTTTCAACTCCTCCGCCTCGGCGCGACCGAGCTTCTCTACTGTCTTGAAGTAGCCGCCCCTATGCCCACGCGGTAGCAAGTTCCGAGCACCTAGTGCTCCTCGGTGTCCATGCACTGCGCCTCGGTGCGTTTAGCGTCGAATCCGCGCTTGGCGTTAACTGACGACGGCAGATGCTCGCCGCCCGCTTGGGCAAACTCCTGCTCGATCCGAGTCGTCGCGAGGATCTGGGCGAACAGCTCCTCGAGCTGATCCTTGCCAGCCTCCTCCTCTGTGCCCTGCCAGAACTTCGCTTGCGCAGAGGGGTCCAACTTCTTAAAGATGGCAGGCGGCCGAGATCCGAACAAGCGGCCCAACTGCGCGCCGCGCGCGCTGCACGTGTCGCGCGGCCGCGAGCCGCGGCATTTCCCCACCAATGAACGGTGCCCTCGAGACATCGACCTCTTGCCTGCACCTGTAGCGCGCGGGGGTTGACGGCTCGTTCTCGACCTCTGGAGCAGCCCAAAAGAAGACCTCGCCAGTGCCCAAAGTCTTTCACTGGTGGAGCGGCACCCTCTTCGACGAGCGCCGGGGCGGCGCCTGCGACGCTGGGCGGGCCGGAAGACGCAGCAGCCTCCGAGGCGATCTCCGCGCCATCGGCATCCTCGAAGCCTGTCATGGCCCCTAGCGCCAGCGTCGTCGCCAAGCGTGGGGGCGTTCGCATGCTCGACGATGGCCGCCTTGCTCTTCGACTTGGTCATGGCCCTGCCCTTCGCCTCGGGCGCCGCGGCCGGCGGTGGCGTCGGAACCAGTTGCGTCGACGTCGGCGCCGCGAGGAAAGGAGGGGGCGGGGGGGGGGCGCGCTGCCTCGCCAACTAAATGGCCGCGGATGGAGGAGACGAGAGGAGGGGGGAGGGGAGGGGGGCGGAGGAGGGGTCGCGCGGAGCCTGAGCGCGACCGAGTCGGAGGCGCAGGGCTACACGGAATAACAGGGCCAGGCTGCGATCGCAGCTAGCTCCGCTTCCTTGCTCTGACGTCGGCATCAAACTCAAACGTCAAACGAGGGCATAAGGGATTTGAGGGGGGGCATCCAAATTTTTGCGGCCACTGCCAATGCCAGGCGGCATGGGCAGCGACCCGACAGGCCCCCCTCCCCAGTTCACCATGGAATGACCTCCCCCGTCTTAGGGTGAAGGCCACGAGCAGCGTATTTAATTTTCAGATATGAGCATTACTCGTGCTCGGGTGGGCGCTGCGCCCTTTGCACAACGCCAACAGACCGCGAGCTTTTCCACCTGGCAACACAGAAGGCCGAGCATTTGGAGCAGAGGGCGGCCTTACCACACTGCTCGACTTAATGGTGCCCCGGGACATCCTCGGCCGCCCTGGGGGCAGTCAACGCCGACTGGGAAGCTATGGGCACAGCTTCAGAGCCAAACGGACGGAAGAACTCGAACGCCGACCACCTAGACAAGCTTGACGGGGGCGCACACACGTCTGGTTCCCGATCGCAACTGCAACAAGGAGGCTCCCGTGCGGGCCAACAAATCACAAGACTTGCACCTCCGCTCTCCTCCACTGGGGAAATGGAAAAGATCATGCTCATACATGGCCGCTTTAACCTGGACATCAATGACCCGCAACGCACAGGCCAGGGGCGGGGTCGAGTCGCTCTCTTCCGCCAGCGCGGCCACCGACTGCACGAAACGGCTGGGAAAATCAAACTTACGTCGGACGAGCGCTAGCTGACCCTTCTGGCGCTTTTCCAGGGTTCGAGCTGCGGCCATGGAGTCGGCACCGACACGAGCGAACAGATCCGCCAAGCAGTTGCCCATGAAACAATCAAAATTGAACTCGCGCGCACCACCGTGGACTAACACGGACCACTCGCGATGGGCGGGGGCCCTCAAAAAAATTGGCCGCTTACGTTCCGACCTGTAACGCGGACAAATCCTCCTCCATGTGGATTCGCGCGGTGGCGAGCCGAACGCAAGCTGTAGGGAAAAATTGTTACCCTCCGTCACCGCACTCGAATGGTCAGACACTGCCGGGGCGTCTGGCGGACCGCGCCTAAGAGCCTGGTAGATAGCATAGCTCTCGGCCCTGGGAACAGACTGCACCCGCCCAGGGGGGGTCCCGTAGACCGCTCGAACGGGGGGTCCACTAGGGCCCAGCTCCACGGCGGCCCATCCACACCTACGTAACTCAGGGCTGTGGTTGGCCAGCTCCAAGCCGTCTGTGGGGATGCGCCCCCCCAAAAAAGCTCATCGGCACGGCCCCAAGAGCATGCGGGGCAGTCCTCGGGCACGGGGGGGATTGAAACTTCCACCAGGGGGAAGCCATGCGCGAGCTCAACCGTGTCCACGTCGGCCTTCCCAAGGCCCAACCCCCCTTGCTTCCGAAGACACGCCCGCATCTCCAAGACGTCTCCAGGATAAAACATTCCCTGGCTCCGCGGGTAATCAAAGACACCCTCGCAATCATAGAGTTGGCGGCCTAGGGCCCCGCGAGAACCAGAGGAACAAAGGGTTCATTTATCGCCGCGCGAAAAGCCGGCGATTTTCCTGGCGGGGGGGCCACGGGGAGCATCCAACAATGCAACTAGCAGCCCCTTGTCGCTTGCTATCAGACTGGCTAAGGAGTCCATGGCGCAGACCTCGCGTTGCAAGATTCGGGTCGATTGCCATCTGGAAATCCCTTGCATCAGCAACTCACGGAGTTCGTGGGGAGAGACTCGGAGGAGCGAGTGAGAGCTGCCGAGGTCATCAACAACGGCATGCGCAGACGCCATTTCCCATCCTATTCGGAACAAGGATAGATACACAGCAGAAATCTGGCCTTTGCATCTGTGCCACGCATTCCTAGCCTGCAGCTGGCACCGCATAGCCAACTACGCACGCCGCAACAGGCCTAGAGACATCTTAGTATCCCAAAGTGCCGAAGCGTGCCGCATCAGCACGGGGATAGTGGCATCGTACACTAGGTCAAAATAGCGGTCCTTCTGGGTAGCCAGCCACGACGTCAGAGCGCCAGACCTCTTCGCCCCCACTCCGGTTCCAGCCAAGGTGCGGAAGGTCATCAACGTGCAATCTGTCAGGCCACTCACCCCAGCCCCGCGGGCCCCCGCCGGCAAAAGACCCGCCCGCCAGAGCGCGCCAACCTAGGTGTGGGGGGGGGCCCTCTGCGCAGGGCTTGGAGCTTAGGCCTCCTACTCAACACTTTATTCAATCGAGACTGCCCCTGCACCCTCAAAGGTCGTCCGCTGACCACTTCGTGCCCGAGGTTGCGCATGTGCTTATTGCCGCGAAGCCTCATGACACGCGCCAGAAGGGGCAAGCTTAGCATCAACACAAAACGTCGAGACAACAAACCCGCCGTTTGAAACTTGCAGGACCAATCCCAGACGGAACAACTCACGGCAAACCCAAGCCACGGCCCCCAGGAGCGGCCCTGAGCCCCTAGGAGAATCACCAACCCACTGAAAACTACAATCGTCCATGAGGACGCGAGGCTTCACTTCTGTATATCGTATGCAGAGGCGGGCAACGACGCGCTGGAGTAACAACTGCACGAGTGTGTTAGCATGGCTGCAGACCGCGACCATCCCCCTGGTAACTTTTCACTTCCCTGGACAGAGACCCGAACGCCCGGACCAACCTGGGACGGCGACAAAGCGCCAAAAGCACCCAGATCATCCTCAGGGGATACTCTAAAGCGCGGGCCTCTTCGAGCAGCGGACTTACTATGATGCACTGACATCGCATGCTTACCTACTGCAAAACATGGCTGCTTCAGCTTCCAAATTGCGTGGGAACGCTGCATCAGACGACGACGGCGCAGGACCAGAACCCCAGAACGCTGGGTGCACATTTTGCGCTTGCCACGCGGCAGAAATAGGACGTCTCAAACGCCCCCATATCCTGACCAGGCTGCTGAGCGGTGCCATGGGCCTGTGCCCACCATCAAGCTTGCCCAATCTGACCAATCGAGTGTGGACACGATCGGGCGGTCAGCACAACAACCTCTCACACGCACGAAAGAGCTCACCCATGGTCATCAAATCCTCGCCCGGCACAACATCGAGCGACATAGGGCGCAGGCGCAGTTGTCCGAGCGAAGTCCTGGTGGGGAAACTACGAATCACATCCCTTATATCACCGACCTCGAAGTCGGGCAGATTATCCCAATCACCTGCATCTGCTGGCAAATCGGGTTCCGTACACTTGTGCATCGCCCATATATACTGCCAGCTGTCTATGCAATCGTCAACCTGCTGGCAGGGCTGGCAACGGTCAGTGTCCACGGCGACCTCCTGCCGCTCACGCAGACGACTGAACCGTTGGGCACGCGCAGCACCGCCAGCAAACGCGCCGTTGGCCAACCTGGCCCACGAAGCAAAGGCGCCCCGAGCATGGGCGGCCACCTTGCCATCGCCCATGTCCAGGAAGCCTTGCACGCGCTCACACAATGCATCCCCTGAAAATCCAGCTACGATGTCCGCGGGGTAGTCCTTCGCATTATCAGGTGTGGTCCAGCACCCAGTCTCCACGGCGAGTCCTCCTCACGAGCCCGCCGAGGACATGCAGAATCTTCGCAATGTAGCCCACGTCGCGATGACCAACCAACAACAAGGCTTGCAGCCTCCACCTGACTCCGCGCAAGCGTCGGATCCACCGACCGAGCACTCGCCACGCCTCTATTGTGTAACGCCTGCTTGTCCATGGTGCTTTCTCCTTTCGGCAGCGTCCGCGACGTCTGCGCGGTCGAGCATGTCTGCCTCCGGGCCAGTCAAAACTTCGACCCAGCACTCGGCTGAGTCGTTCGCGCTGGACGCCTCGGCCAGCCTTGTGCGAACTTGGGCCCATTCAGCAATTGGAGGGAACTGACTGCTTCCAGGATTGAAAATGACAGGGAACTTTGCTGGTTCAGCTGCAACACGCGCATACATCACCACAAGCTTCGCACGGAATGGCAACCATACGGGCGAATGGGGAAAGGTGTCGACGTTCTCGTCCACTGCCGGAATCTCCGCATACTGGCACAAGGATCCACCCACAAAGAAGAAATCACACGTAGTCCCTGGCATTGCCAGGCGACATGACAGATCAGCGGCTGCCTTCAATGCGCCGCGCACAGTGTGGAACCAGGGTTCGACCTCTTCAGGATCCATATTGAAATCGCCCCCGACGACCCACGGCTGCCCCACTGCATTCAGCTTAGTCAAATTATCCTAGTGCGGCCCTACCTAGAAGTTGAAGCCCCGAGGAAAGCAACATGAGTAATGACCGTAAAGCAAATCTAAAGCTAAGCTAAAGCTAAGGCTAAGTTTAAACTAAGCTGCAGCTAAGCTAAAGCTAAGTTAAAGCTGAGGTAAAGCTAAGCTGACTCCAAGCTAAAGCTAAGCTAGAGCTAAGCTACAGCGAAGCTGAAGCTAAACTAAAACTAAGCTAAAGCTAAACTAGAGCTAAAGCTAAGCTGAAGCGAAGCTAAAGCTAAGTTGCAGCGAAGATAAAGCTAAGCTAGAGCACAGGTAAAGCTACGGTAAAGCTAAGGTACAGCGAAGGTAAAGTTAAAGCTAAGCTAAAGCCAAGCTGAAACCAAGCTACAGCTAAGCTAAAGCTAAGCTAAAGCTAGAGCTAAAGCCAAGCTGAAGCTAAGCTGAAGCTAAGCTGAAGCTAAACTAGAGCTAAGCTAGAGCTAAACGAAAGCTAAGCTAGAGCTAAAGCTAAGGCTAAGCTGGAGCTGAACTGAAGCAAAGCTGAAGCTAAGCTGAAGCTAAGCTACAGCTCTGCAGCAACTAAGCACAAACTAAGCTAAGCTTGGGCCAAGCTAAAGCTCAGCTGAAGCTAAGGCAAAGCTTACCTGAAGCTAAAGCTAAGCTAGATCTAATGTAAAGCTAAAACGAAGCTAAGCTAAAGCTAAGTTAGAGCTAAGCTCAAGCTAAGCTCAAGCTAAGCTTAAGCTACACCTAAGCGTAAGCTAAGCTTAAGCTGAGCTAAAGCTAAGCTAAAGCCAAGCTAAAGCTAAGCTAAAGCTAGGTTGAAGCTAAGCTAAAACTGGAGTAGAGCTAAGCTAAAGCTAAGCTAAATGTAAACTAAAGCTAAGCTGACGCTAGACTGAAGCTAAGCTCAAGCTAAGCTAAAGCTAAAAACTAAGCTAAAGCTGAAAACTAAGCAGCAGCTAAGCTAAAGCTAAGCTACAGCTGAGCTGCAGCGAAGCTAAGCCTAAGCTAAAGCTGAGGTAAAGCTAAGCTGACTCCAAGCTAAAGCTAAGCTAGAGCTAAGCTAGAGCTAAGCTAAAGCTAAACTAAAACTAAGTTAAAGCTAAGCTAGAGCTGAGCTAAAGCTAAGCTAAAGCTAAATTAGAGCTAAGCTAAAGCTAAGCCAAAGCTAAGCTGAGGCTAAGCTGAAGCTGAAGCTGTAGCTGAAACAGAAGCTAAGCTAGAGCCCCCAAAGGACGGGGGGAACCGCGGGGCGGAAGCAGGGGGGAGCGCCCGAGCGATTTCCACTGCCCGGCCCTTTAAGCATACGGGGTAAGAACCCTTCTAGGCAGAGCCTAGGTAGGGAATAAGCGGACACCTGGGGCAATGTCGAGGTTCTCACATGCGAACCTCGCGTCTACAATCAGATATATCGAAACGAATGCAATGCCGCCTGGCCTTGCCCAGCGAGCACGCGCAGCAACAGCGCGACCTGGGGCGATCACGGGAGACGCCGCCAGTAGCGGCGCTGCGATGGGAACCTTTGGGGTGGAAAGAATTGCCACCCCTCCCGCGGCGCCGCCGCGGCCTGAACCCACAGCAGGCGCCCGCGCGCCCGATGGACTCAAGTCGAGGGCCTTCTTCTGCACGTCAACCAACTTCGCCAGCGGCGCGCGACGCCCCATGCGCCATGATCACGCCGTCGACAGCATGCGAAGAGCGGGAAAGCACCCGGAGCATCGGGCCAAACGACGACGCATTAGCCGTGACAACATAGCCCTTCACCCTGTCGCCCCCTTGACCAGGCACATGGGGACCTCGCTTGCCACGAGTGGCACTCTGTTTGGAAAAACGCTGTGTAACATCGCCGTCATCGCACCCAGCAGGCACAACGACTCCTGGGGGAACTGCGGGGCGGATGCCGGGGGAACCGCCCGGGGCGATTTCCACTGCCCTGCCCTTTAAGCATACAGGGTAAGAACCCTTCTAGGCAGAGCCTAGGTAGGGAATAAGCGGACACCTGGGACAATGTCGAGGTTCTCACTTGCGAACCTCACGTCTACAATCAGATATACGAAACGAATGCAATGCCGCCTGGCCTTGCCCAGCGAGCCTGTGGGGTGGAAAGAATTGCCGCCCCTCCTGCGGTGCCACCGCGGCCTGAACCCACAGCAGGCGCCCGCGCGCCCGATGGACTCAAGTCGAGGGCCTTCTTCTGAACGTCAACCAACTTCGCCAGCGGCACGCGATGCCCCTGCAACGTGATCACGCCATCGACAGCATACGAAAAGCGGGAAAGCATCCTGATCATCGGGCCAAACGACGACGTATTAGCCGTGGCAACATAGCCCTTCACCCTGTCGTCCCTTTGGCCAGGCACATGGGGGCATCGCTTGCCACGTGTGGCGCTCTGTTTGGAAAAACGTTGATTAACATCGCCGTCATCGCACCCAGCAGGCACAACGACTCCTGTCCACGGCGACGTGTAGTCGGGCAGCTGCACGGGCGGAACCGCTCCAGCCACGGCCCCACGTACTGGACAATGTTGTGCTGGTGCCGACGGTGCCTCTCTGCCCCGCTGTGCTGGGCGCCCCCGACTGCTCGAGGCCCCCGCTGAGCTAGGGTGAGTGAGGAACCCAACCGTCACACCAGCCATAGGCGGCGCAGCCAGGGCCGCGCCCCCCCGCCCAGGGTCCGCCCTGACTCCAGCGGCGGCGGCGGCCGCCTGCTGGAGCACTGGTTTGGCAGCCGCAGCCAGCGGCCTCCCGTCGCGGGGCATCGCGCCCGCGGGCATCCAGCAACAGACGAGGCACAGCACGGACATGATGTGGCCGAGCCTATTGGACGGCCCTCGCCTTCTTGGCTTGGTTCCCTTAGGTGCCGGCAAGACGCCTGATGCAGGCTCGCATATCTTGCTCGCCCTCAGGTCCATCTGAGCCCACCGCGCCCCGCCAGCAAGCGCGCAACTCGTCAGTGTCAGCAGCGCCCATAGGCGCCGCCACATGTTCGCCGTCTGTTGCAGCAGGAGGGGCCTCCGCAGCATGAACTGGCCCGCCTGCCCCCCCCCCCCCCCCCCCCCCCCCCCGCCGCAGCCCCGTGCGCCTGGCCCGCGGCAGCAGCTGCCGCCGCCGCCGACCTCTGGGCCGCTGACTCCGCAGCAGTCCTGTCAAACTGCTTGAGCTTGTCGAGCGTCGCGACCACTTTTTTAGCCAGGGCCTCGCCCCCACCGAGCTCCGCCGGCATCTTGCCGACCTGGTCGACAGCGAGGTCGAGCCCCGCCACCGCCGCGCGCAGCGACGGAGCGTCGCCAGGCTTGGGCAGCGGCGCCTTGGCGGCCAAGCAGCGCCTCTGCTCATCGGCGCCCAGCAGCTCAATGCGGATCGCCTCCATGTGCTGCTGGGCCTTGAGCACCTCTTTTGCCAACGTTGCCTGCGCCGCCCGTAGCCCATCGATTTGCGACTGCTGCTTGTCGCGCTTCTTCTCGAGGGCCTGGCAGCGGTCGGTCGCCATGCGCAGCTGCGACGACGGCGGCTTGGCGGCCATCTTCTTCGACTGGAGCGCATCAATCTCGGGCTGCATCTGCGCGCGCACGGGGGCCAGCAGCGCCCCCCCCCCCCCCCCCCCCCCAAAGGCGCGCAAGGTGGCGCGCGGCGAATGGATGCGAGCCTGGGTCTGGCCAAGCTCAGGCCACACCTTGGGCACGCTGCCGTCGGCATCAGCACCTGCGCCCCCTGACTTGACCATCGCAAATGCCCTGCCACCCTCGGCGAGCTCGATCTTGAGCTTCTCGATCTCCGCGCGGTCTGCATTGGCGCGTCGCCACGCAGTGACCGAGCGCGAACAAGGGCCTCCGATATCGCGGTTGCCCGCGTGCGCCGTGCCCTTTCGAGCCTCCGCAACTGCTGCAACTTGCTTCCTCTGCATGGCTCCACCATCCCTCTCCATTCGATTGGTGCACCACTTGCAGTGCCGCGCACATGCTGCCACCCGCCGCCTCTTAGCGAATTGGCCGGCATCGGATGCGATTGTCATCCGCTCCTCTCGGGGGCCTATCGCGTGCAGTGTAAAGAGTCCAATCTGTGTGATCAGTGGGGCGCTGGCCCCAGCGCAGTCAACGGACTGGGGTGAGCCGTTGAGAGCAGTTGGGAGCCACCGCTACGGACTTGAGCCAAAATGGCTACGGAACGGGGGGCGGAGGACGAGGAACGGAGGAGGAACGGGGGAGGGAGATCGGGGGAAGAACGGAGGAGCGGGGGCACGAACGACGAGATGGAGAAATTATGGCGACGACGGTGGCGATAACGGAAATGACAATGGTGATGATGAGCGGGCAATCCGCTACATCGGCTGATCCGCTATTTCATTATTTGGTTTTGATAGCAGAGCCCAGAGGAGCCCGATGCTGAAAGAAAAAACAATTACTCCGACGGAAAGATCCCACATGATCATCTGTTTAGCTTGCCCTTATCCGTTTCCTCTCGCCCCCCCCCGCCCCCCCCCCCTTACTTCTTCTATTTATCCCCCGTCCCCTCCTTCAACTCCCACTCCTCCTTCTCCACCTCCCCCCCATCGTCGCCTCCCCCCCGCCCCATTCCCCCCTTCTCACCTTCCTCCTGCCGCTTCTCTACGTGCACCCCCCCATCCCCCCTGGCCGGGGCAAGCGGGCTTATGTTCCTCGGCGCCGTCGCCGCCTCGGCCAGCGCGCGCGCGTTCGCCGACGGCTAGGTCGCGAAGCCGTTGGGGCGACCCCGCGGGCCGCGCCTCCGGGGCAATCCCGCCAGCCGATGGGGCGCGAAGGGGCCCAGCCCGGAAGGGGGGGGGGGGGGGGTGGGGGGGCAAAAGTGACGGAAGTCATCGGAATCCGATGGCCCGCTCGGATTGCCAACATAAAGTGCGGGACCCGCCACGGCGGAGAGTCGCCCGCATCTCGCTGGAGGCTTAAGTTTTGCCGCAAGGGCGGGGGCCATAGGGCGGGTGCCCTCGCATCAGATTTCCTCGCAATTCACTCGCAGACGAATCTCCCGCTTGATGCCGCCCCCAAATTCAAGCCTGAGGGGCCCAAAAATAACGGCAGCTACATGTTTCGGATAACCCGCTCGAGTTACCAACGTGAAATGCGGGACCCGTGAGACAGGGCCCCCCGTTTGAAACTTCCTCACAATTCAGTCGCAGACGAAGCTCCTGCTAGATACGTCCCGAAATTCAAGCCGGAGGAGCCCAAAAGTGACGACAGTTACAAGTCTCGGATGACCCGCTCGGATTACCAACATGAAGTGCGGGGCACATATGAAGGCGCCCCCGCCCGAGACTTCCTCGCAACTCACTCACAGACGAGGCCCCCGCTTAATACTTCCCCCAAATTCACGCCTGAGGAACCCAGCAGCAACGACAGTTGCACGTTTCGGATGACCCGCCCGGATTACCAACATGAAATGCGCGACCCATGGGGAGGAGGCCCCCGCCTGAGACTGCCCCACAATTCGCTCGCAGACGAAGCCCCCGCTTGATACGTCCTCCAAATTCAAGCCTGAGGAGCCCAGCAGTGACGACAGTTGCACGTTTCGGACGACCCGCTCGGATTACTAACATGAAATGCGGGACCAATAGGGAGGGGGCTCCTGCCTGAGACTTCCTCACAATTCACTCACAGACGAAGCTCCCGCTTGAGACTTCATCCACATTCAAGCTGGGGGGGGTAAATGATGACGAAGTGATGAGTGAGTGAGTGAGTGAGTGAGTGAGTGAGTGAGTGAGGGGGTGGGTGGGTGGGTGAGTGAGTGAGTGATGATGATGACGATGAATGAGTAGGTGATCGAATGATGATGATGGTGACGATGATGAAGATGATGCCGATAATGATGATGATGATGATGGTGATGAGTAATGCTGGGTGGTTGATGATGGTGCTGGTGAATGTGATAATGATGATGATTGGTCGAATGATGCTGATGTTGTTGAAGATGATGGTGATAATGGTGTGAGCGCTTATGAGTGTGATGATTATGAGGATGGTGACGAAGATGATGATGATGAGTAGTGACGGTGAGTGGCGATGATGATGATAATGATGATGGTGAGTGATGGGGAGAGGGGTGGGGGGGTGAAGTGAGGCGAGTTTCCTACGCGAGGTGTCCCCAGAAAGCAAGAAAACCACTTTGGATGGGGGGAAAAACGACGCCTGTCCGCGCACACCCCGCGGGGCACGCGGCGGTGCCGAGAAGGGGCCGCCCCCGCTAATAACCGAAAACGGCAGATAACAACCGATAGCGCTTCGGCAACGCGCTATCGGGAACTGCGCCAACGAGCGATAGCGCCCGATAACGGCTGACGATTAGATCCGATAATAATGTCATCGGTGCCAGCTTCGACCCCGATAACCGTTATCGGTGCTATCGGGCGTTATTTCGGCATTGCCGGCTGCGGCGGCAACGCCAATAGCGCGGCGTTATCGGCTGTTCGCGGGTGCTCCGATCACACCGCTAGCGAAACATTGTCGGTGGCTATCGGTTGTTATCGGCCGTGTCCTCGAGTGGCGGGTGGCCCGAATGATCCGCCGATTAGCGGGCGAAGCCCTCGTGGCGACGACCCGACGCGACGTGCGCAACGACGATGGCGCGAAAGTCTGCTGGCGAATCCTGCGATCGCTCGCGGTCGGCGAAGCGCGCGCGCGGACGCGCGGTCGGCTGCGCGCCCGACGGGAGGCGCGCGAAGCGAGGCGCGGGCGCGCGCTGCCAGAACCCAAGCGGCTCACCAGCAACCTCTCGACTCGCGCAGGTTGAGCGCGCGCGCGGGCTGATCGCGCGACTCGATCACCTCGACGCACTGCTGGACGCACGTGGCCCCCTCGCTGAGAGCCCGAGAAGCTTTGGCGAGCAGGTTCGCCGCGCTCTCCGCCGAGACCTTGGCGCGCTTCGGCGAGTCGACGCATGCGCGCAGCTGCGTCTCTGAGAGCGTGATCCGACGCGCGCCAGCACCCGTCGGCGGCGCGGGGATCTCCACTGCGCGCTCTCCGGCGAGCCACTGCAAAGACTTGCGCTCCTTACCAACCTCCCACTTGGCGCGGTCGATCCTCCGCTGCACCTCGTCGGCTTCGCAGGACTCGATCAGGTTATAATCGACGGCCATCTCAGCGCCAGCCCGCCGGAGCCCGCGGCAAGGCGAAGTCGCAGAAAAGTGGATCGCCGACTCCACGGCCTCCTCGTGCATCTGGCACGACTGAATGGTCGCGTTGCGCCTGCTGCGCTGCGAGCCGAAGGGGCACTTCGCACCGTGCATAGTCCGCGCAGAGCTCTCGTTGTCGGGCCCCGCCGCTGCCCCCCGGCCGTCGGGTCGGGGGCGGGGGCGGCCGGCGCGGCGACGGCGGACAGGGCGGCAGGCGACCCGGGCGCGGTTCAAGCCAAGACGCCCAGGGCGCGAAAAGCGGCGCTGCAGGGGGGGGATGAGGAGGAGGAGGAGGAGGAGGAGGAGGAGGAGGAGGAGGAGGAGGAGGGGGGGGAGGGGGAGGGTGGAGGAGGTGAGCACTGCGAGCCTATATAGACTTACACGCCCACGATGCATGCTCGCACAATATACGACGAGATACTGGGCGCGCACGCAACGACACGCACAGGCGGATAACCCGCCATGGCGGTTGAGCCGCCGAAGGAGTAAAGGTCATTTTCCAGGCGCCACGTCGCGCGTCGCAACAAGCGCCGCTGCACGCTGGCGCCCGGTGGATTGGTCGCCCGCCGCGTAGACCTGCGGCGCGGCGACGGCGTCCTAGGCGCTGGGCGCTCGGTGGTGGGCGCGAGGACGGCGTTGCCCAGGTGCGCGCCCTTGCCCTTGTCCTTGCCCTTGTCCGTGTCCTGGTTGGCGCCCTTGTCCTAGCCTGAGTGAGCCCTCGACCTTGCCCTCGCCTGAGCCCCTGCCCTGGCCCTTGACGGCCTCCCCGCCCGAGCCCTGGCCCGCGCCCGCGCTCGGGGACTTCGAAGCCATCGGGCGCGCGATCGGCTTGGGGGCGAACGGCGTCGTCATGGGCGTCGGCGGGCGCCCCTTGCTTGTCGCAGGCGCGGCCTTTGGCGGCGCCATCCTTGGATCAGAGGCCCTCGGGGGGCCGACCGACTGCGCGCGCGCGATCCCCTGGGACTTGCTCGCGCGAGCGGCCTCGTCCTCATGGAATGCCTGGGCGCCGCGCTCCTTGCCCACCTTCGCCGCGAAGTTTTCTAGCCGCGGGCCGCCGCGTTTGCCTCGCCCTCGAGGAATGCTCGCGCGCCGCGCCCCTTGCCGCGCTGAGCCGCGAACTCGGCTAGCCGCGCGCCGCGGCCGCCGCGGGGGCCCCGCCGACCGCTGCCCCCCCTCCAGGCATGGCCCCCCCCCACGCTTTTGGCCCCCCCGGGGAGGGCCGAGGGGGCCCCGCTGCTAAAACTTCTCGCGGCATCTGATCTCGAAGATCAACGTCTTCGCGTCGTTGGCGACGGCGGCGTCGTTCCAGCCCGCGGCGGGCGGATTTGCGGCCATGGGCAGGGCAATCCTAGCGAAGTCGCGACCCCTGTTCAACGAGTCTTTGACGCGGTCTGGCGTGCCTGCGGGAAGGGCGCGGCCGCCCGCGTCGACTGCCCCGCCCCCCGAGGCGCCGTCGACAGCGCGGCCCAGGGCAGCAAGGTCGACCTCGGAGCGGCCGGCCTCAGAACTGCCGACCTCCACCTCCAGGGCCGCCGACGCAGCGGAGCTCGAAGCAGCGGCGGGCTCCTCCAGCGGGCCCTCGAGGACAAGCGCCACGTGGCCACTTTCCTCGAGCGCTTTCCTGAGACAGCCGATGACATGCGTCCGTGCAACGTCCATCTTGTCGAACGCATCGTCGGCCTGTTCGAAAAAGCTCTGGAGGTCTTCGAGAGCAGATTTCCGCGGCGCCGCCGCGGCGCCCTCGTGAGCCCGTCGCGCGCGCG